CACTCCCCCTTTAAGAGGAGAGGCACAGGCCCAAAGGACATCAAGCTGGAGTGTGGATGCCTGTATCCATTGAGGTTTAAGTGTGGACAATCAGAGCAGCGTGACTTTTCTGAAGAAATGGGTTTCTTCCTTTCAAGCAGGGGCGGGCCACGTTGGGCTCCAGAGTGAAGCACACTCTTGACAAGTGTGCTGCGTCTCATGATGCTGTGTCTGCTCTGGTCTCTGGGTGGCAAGTCAGAAAACGATTTCTCCCTCCACAGGGACTCTGTGACTTCTCATTCACAATTGCTGAAGGGCCTTGACAAGGCAAAGCCCGTTATTCCTTTAGAGGGATGCCAATTGCTTTGTTTGATTCAGCTTTTTATTTCCATTTGGACAAAACTACATGGACACACCCACCCCCACCCACCCAGCTTAAATTTGGGGTGGAAATGTAAGATCCCGAGGCCATGAGACGAGTGCATGTCATCCTGGGAGGATGAGGCATTCTAATATTAAAAAAAAATGGGTAAGGAAATGTCACTGATTTGTCACACCCATTGTACATGAGGGCACAGCCAGACAATTATTAGGCTAATGTTTCCAAATAAATTGCTAAACTTTTAGCCCATTCTATTCAGACATTTGAACCCTTTCAGATTCAATAAAAAACTTTTGTTGAATAAAACTTTGTTTCCCAACGTTGAGAGCTGCCAGATTTACGAAACTGCATTATGTTACCTCATTTCCAAATTCTGAATGGACGTCAACTGGACAGTAAAAGAGAAAGAATAATTTGTTTCTGAGAAGGACCAACTACTCAGCCTCTCATTTGTTTCTGGTATCTTTTCCTGCTCGCTCGCACAACTTGCTCCCCCCCTGGCTTGGCGCTTCCTTGGTCCCTCCAATCTTCTTTACACTCTGATATCAGCATCGTCTTGCTTATTCTTTAGTTTTGTTTTTCTTTTGGTCCTTTTCTCACCCACCCTCATTTTTCTGTTTATTTCATTTTTTCTCCCAATATTGTCAATTGACTTCTTCCCCCCCGACTTTCTTTCCTGGCCCGTTTCCCTGCTCTTAACTGATCACAGTGGGGAATTAACTTAGTGTACATAAATAGTTTCGATGATCTTATTTATTGAGTACCGTTACATATTTTAAGAGTCCTGGTCAAATCAAGCATGTAAGAGTTTTATATATTTTGTTCACAAAAGAGAAATTAAGGGACAATGAGCTCATATGATCTCCTGCACCCCTAGTTGATGCTGAAGACAAGAACTTTCATACCAAAGGGAATTGGTGGGGGGAGGAGTTAGGGAAAGGAGGTTAGATAAAGGAATGGACTAAGTGGTAGATAGGTATTAATTTGGTTGGAATGGAGGACAGTAGTCCTCAAGACACAGGAGCAACTAAGGAGTGGAGAGGGGTCAAATTGTGGGAGGATTGCTCGGTGAAACTGTGGAACACAAAGTTGATGACATGCTATGTAAACCCGCAGCTAAGTTACAACAGACAATAAAAGAGTTGTAACAAATGGACACACAGAACCCAAGAGAGGATTTGACTCAGGACATGGAGGATAGGGGTGAGCGACCTCTTACTTTCCCCCCAAAGACTCTCCTAGCTCATTTGTAGTGCAGGGGGCATACAAGATGGAAGATGTTAAAACAAATTCTCCTTCTCCAGCATTTTTCTTCCATTTTTTTTAATAGGCTGATTTACTTCTCCTATCAAGCAGTGAGCCACATGGACTCTGCTACATTGAAACTGCTGAACTTGATGGGTAAGTTATTGGAATGTGTTATTGGAATGTGAATGTTTTATTCCATTGGTTTTTTAATTTATCTCAACGCAAGGTCTTTAGGAATGGTATTTAATTTTTTAATTTCATTTTTAAAAAAAAAGTCTGCATTGCAATGTTCATTTGTTAACCCGTTGACAGTTTATCAACCATTTGTTAATATTGTAATATGAAGAACTTTTGAGAACTGTCTTTTCTCTTGAATTCATTGTCTTTCACCAAGAGCCAGCTCAACAAGTGTGTGGTCATGAATGGATGGTGGTAGCACACGCAGAGTCTTCATTGAAACTCTTTAGAAGGACTGTTAAAATTTCAAGTAATTTTGAAACAAAAGGAGAGAGGAAAGATTAAGCTTCCCCGAGGAAGGGAATGAGGCTACTTTAGAAGGAAGGCTTTTGGGAGCAGAATCAAAGGAAGACAGACGGAGAGAAGAGAGAAATGGACAGTTTGGCATGCAACTTAATTTTCAATTTTGTTCTGTGCCACATGGCAGGACTGTTTCAGAGGGTTCAACTGGTCTGTTTGACACAGGAGGATTTATTGAGCACTTGCATCTTATAGACATTTTATAGTTCTGAGTCAGAATCAAGTTGATGGTTGTGGGCCTTTTTGGGGTAGATACATTTTTGTCATCTAATCCTGCTGTAAGCAAACCAACACAGCTCGAGGCGGACCGACAAAGAATAAAAGAGAAGACAGAAATGATCAATAATATGATCAGAGGATGGCAAACGATGATAAGAAACTACTATAAACTCGTCCTCACAAATTATTTAACAATTTAAATGAAATGGATCACTTCCTCAAACAAAACAAGCCATCACAATTCTTCCAGTAGGAAATAAAATTTTTTTTACTATTCCTATAGTTATGAGGGAAATTGAATTTTTCATTTAAAAAGAAGAGTAATTATCCAGATTGAGATAATTCCACTGTAGAATTTTACCACATATTTAAAGAGAATGAACCCCTTTCAGCACACTGTCTCACAGACTCGAGGAGAGTGGACACTTACCAATTTGCTTATGCAGTTGGTGTTGCCCTGATACCAAAATATAAAATATAAAGCCCAAACACTGTAAACCAATATGCCACATGAATAAAGATGTAAAATCCTTCACAAAATACTAGCAAGTAGAATTTAGCAATATGTATACATATGAATTATACATTATGATCAAGTGGATATTTCAGTGATGAAAAGTGGATTCAATATTAAAAAATGAATCAACTTAATTCATTATATTAACAACTCTGGTATTGACAAAGAATATTGTGTATACTATGGACTACTAGAAAAATGACAAGTCACTTTTAGAAGGAATACAGCCAGCATGCTTCTTAGAAGCAAGGGTGGGTGAGATTTCAGCTTGGTTACTTTGGGCATGTCATTAAGAAAGGACAATTGCTCAAAAAGAACATTGTCTTTGAACAATGTTCAAAGGCAGCAAGGACTAGAACAACTTTCAGTGGGATGGACTGAACAGCCTGAACAGTGGACAGAAACACAGCAATGATTATGAGGACTGTACAGGAATGGGCAATATATTGTTCTTTTATCATCCATAAAGCCACGATGAGTGGGCCTCAACTCAATAGCAACTAACAACAAAGGAGAAAATCCACATGATCATATTATCAAAATATTTGATAAAACTCCCCCTACCAGGCCTCCTACACCCTCCTTCCCATCGATTTTAGATTACTTGTTGTTCTCTTGTCCCTGGGTTTGTTAACACCCACTTCCTTCCCCCCAATTGTACCTTACAAATTGTCTAGACCGGAAGCTGTACACTGGTATAGATAAGAACTGGAAACACAGGGAATCCAGGACAGATAAACCCCTCAGGACCAATAATGAGAGTAGTGATACCAAGAGGGGAAGGGTAAGGTGGGGGCAGAAAGAGGAACTGATTGCAAGGATCTACATATAACCCCCTCCCTGGGGAATGGACAACAGAAAAGTGGGTGAAGGGAGATGTCAGACAGTGTAACACATGACAAAATAATAACAATTTTATAAATTATCAGTGGTTTGTAAGGGAGACGGGGTGGGGAGGGAGGGGAAAAATGAGGAGCTGATACCAAGGACTCAAGTAGAAAGCAAATGTTTTGAGAATGATGATGACAACAAATGTACAAATGTGCTTGACACAATGGATGTATGTATGGATTGTGATAAGAGTTGTACGAGCCCTCAATAAAATGATTAAAACTTTTTTTGGATAATGCTCAACAATTATTCATGATGAAAGCTCTCAGAAAATTAGTAATAGGAACTTCCTCAACTTTCTGAAGACTACCTCCCCAAACTTACAGCTAATATCACACATAATATGAAAGACTGAATACTTTCCCTTGAAAATTAGGAGCAGCACAGCATGTCCACTCTAATCACTTTCATTGAACATAATGCTGGAAGTTTTAGCTGGTGGAAAAACGCCAAGAAAAGCAAATGCAAGACATACTCGTATACAAACGCAGAAATATAATTGTCCTTAGTTGTTGATGATATGTTTGTTTACATAGGACGTTCTGAAGAAACTACAGTAAAATCTCTCTTACAACCCTGTAAGTTTATCAAGATCACAGACTGCAACATAAACATTCAAAATCCAACTGTATTTATATATGATAGCAGTAATTAAAAATAAAGCACAATGTACAATCACTTAAAAGATGAAATACTTAGGTTCAAGAAAATAAAGCATGCACAGAAATTGCATGCTGAATACTTCATCAGGCTGATGAAAGAAATAAAAGACTATCTAAATACCCAGAGAGGCATATGTTCATGCTCTGGAAGGATAAACATAATAAAAATGTCAATTCTCTTCAAACTAGTATACTGGTATAATACAATCCTAGCAGGACTGTTTGTATATAGAGAGAAGATTATTCTACAATGTATATGGTAAAAGCAAAGGAACTAGAATAGCTAAGCTTATTTGGGGAAAATAACGTGGGAGGAAGCAGGGATTCAATTTCCAGATTTCTGTAGCTGCAGATGGGGGAAAGATGGGGCTGCCTGCTCCTGTATTGAGTTAAAATCTCAGAAATCCCCAGAGGCAGTTCTACTCTGTGTCATAGGTTTTTCTGAGTTGGAATTAACTCAATGGCAGTGGGTTTGGTCGGGTATCACTAGTGATTAAGATTGTACTTTTGGTGAAGGATGGGTATATAGATCAGTGTACTTTGAAATAGACTCACACAAATCTGCTCAGCTGGCTTTTGAAGTAAGTGCAAAAGCAATTCAATGGAGGAAGGCTATCCTTTCAACACAAGGCACTAGAGCAATTATCTATCCATAGACAACAAAGGAAACTCATCCTGCCTCACATCTTACACAACAATGAATTCCTATTTCTATTTTAGGGTTAGCTTTAGGGATCTATATGGATGACTTTATACAAGATAGGAAAGATAGCCTGATTAATATTTTATTTGAATAGTCAAAGAGGCTACTTGTTAGTCTAAGTATTTCAACAGCCTGATACCTTTAGAGGCATCGTTCTAACTTTCCTAGTGTTACTCAGTTTATACCACTGAGGTTAGACTTCCGACTTCATGGATGGCAAGATTTCAACCTTAACTTCATATAAGCAACACTGAATGAGGACTTCCTTTGTGATATCTATTCTACTTTGGAACATGAGAAGTCCAAGACATTGAATTTTTAGCATTCTTTAACAGTTTCATGACCAAAATTCAAGACTACAGAGTTTTGAAATCTTGGACTGTTGAACTAGAATATTTTTCCCCTTTAGGTTCTGGTGAATTAAGCTGTGATCTAGTCTACTGTGTGGGAATCAGACACTGAAGGGTAGAACAAGCAGGTGTCTGATTTATGGCTTTTGTTTCTTTTTGTGTTCTTGGGGCTACTTGGGGATATAGAAAGAACATGGCTTACTCTTTCATCCAATTTAAGGATCATCCCTGGCTAGTTGGAGGCAGGATATCAAACAGATCAGACCCCAAACTCTTTGCTCAATTGACCTGACGACTTAAATCCTATTGTGAAAGCCTTTCAGCTCCCTGGATTTTCTTTGGACTGTGACAATATGGTGGATACGTAAGAACTGTAGTGAATGGAAATGATTCCTCTCCTAAAAAGGCGGAACAAAATTCAAAATCATTGAAGAGACCAGGCTTACAGGTTACCTAGGAACCTCTGAGACTATGACTCATAATCATTCTTCAGGGCTGGAACTGAACTCACTCATGGCTTAATGTTCAGCCAGACAATAGACAGGTCTCTAAGGAGAACAACAATACTAGTGAAGCTTTAATACCTCAGACTAATCAGCCATTTGAAATCAAGGGGGCAGCATTTGTCCATGAAAAGGTTTGGAAGGGTTTTGCTGGAAAGAAGAGGAGTAGAGGGGGAACCACAGAGAAGCAATTCAATGAGTGGTGTTGCTTTGAAGGGGTTGCAACGAATGGGATGAGTCAACCTGCGGATGAATTGTTGGGTGTAAAGCTGCTGATCTACTGTGACACTCTTAATCCAATTTACAATGTACCAAAAAAAAGCATTATCCTAGTTTTCATTCTTTCGAAACTATAAACTAAAATAGAGACATTAGACCTAACAGGATTTGACATATATGGAAAATAATTTTTATAATTTTAAGATACTTGGGAAGTATTAAGGGAGAGTGTGATATGTCGTTGACATCATTAACCAAGAGTCTTCAAGATGTTATTAACAAGTATCAGCAGTGTCTGATTGTTCTTCTTTTAGTTTCTACACTGAAAGGGGGAAGCGAGGTATTGAAGAGAATTCTGAGGGGCAAAACCCCAATGATGATAAGCTTTGAGGAAGGACCTGCTGTATTGAATAGCGTCAACAAATGGGGCTGTCTAGTTGGTGTGACTGACTGTTTTAACTGTTTGAACATTTGTTTAAATGGATAGACATATTGGTTCTTTAGCTCCCTGTGTTAGTCTGGGTAGACTAGAGAAACCAGTTCATAAACACGCATATGTATATAAGGGAGAGGTTTATGTACAAAAGGAATTGAACATTGAGAAAACATCCCAACCCAGTCCAGTCCAAGGTCATAAGTCTGATATTAGCCCATATGTCCAATACCAATCTATCAATTCCTCTTCAGACTCACGAAACACATGCAATGAAGCCAAATGCAGGATGATCACAAGCCAGTGGTTAGAAAGTCTTTGGGTCCAGTGGCGTTGTAAGCATCTCAGTGCTGGCAGGGGTCTCTCTGTGACTTCTCCAGCTTCTGAGGTCTGGTTGTGTCCACGGGGCTTGTCTTCTGCAATGTCTCCCAGGGAGTAGCAGAGAGAGAGAGAGAGAGAGAGAGAGAGAGAGACAGAGACAGAGATGTCTTTTGCCTCCAAGAAGGAAGTACCAGATTCCCCAGAATTCTCAGGATAAGGCCATGCCCACACAGAAGTCTCACTGGCCATCTCCAGATTGACAGCCTAGACTCCCCCCCTATACTCTTAATCCTTAAATTGACACCAGTTTAGATGACCACCACACCCCCATAACACTTTTTGTCATCAAGCCCAGCTCCATTTCTGCCTCATCTATTACATTCTTCTTAACCATCTTAATCCCTATTCAACTCTGCTTCCTGGATCTTTTTTTTTTTTTTTCTAGTTGATTCACAGGTGAGTTGTTACACTTTCCTTATCTGATTCTGACTTCCATGGCCACCATCCTGCTTCCTGAATCTTGACTGAGATTCCTTTCTTAAAAAACACACTCTAATTGTATGTGCAACTTAGTGTTTCCCACTGGTATTCTTTGCGTTGAGTTTGTCATTTCCTACCATGATTGTGAGCTCAGACACTCGCTTCTCCATGCCCTAAACTCCATGATGTCATGACTGCACATGTAATTTCATATGGTGCTGTTTGCTTTTGTTACTTACCAGCGGTTTTCCTCAAGAGCACAGTGATTCTCTTAAGACAGCCTTAAGTATCATGGGGTGACTGTAGTATATAATAAACCAATATCTGCTGACTAAATGAACCTGCCTATACACATTTCTCTAAGACAGAACTCGAGCAGGTGATTTTTAATATACTGCAGAATTAGATTGAACTCGGTGGGAAATTTGGGTGGCAAGCGCTTAAACAGAAGACATGAGTAATGGTCAGAAGCCCTTCGCTGGGGCCATTTTATGACCAGGGCTTTTAAAAATTAAAGTTGATAGCAAAATGGAAGTGAAAGGTAACAGGATTTTTCCATGAACTTTTGGAAGCCTTTTGTATGTGTGGTCTTACCTGGAAGGAAATGATTAGCCAGGTGTGACCTGCTGAGCTCTGAGTTCCTGTTTGGTTCCATGATTCTAGATTTTGGGGATTCTTGCCTTGTGTCTCTAGGAAAAAGAAAACTGTATTTTTTTTCCCATTTAAATTTCAGCTACTGTAAAACAGCCATGACCATCTTTTGCAAGTGAAACGCCTATGTAGATAGGAGACGCTAGAGTGACATTGACCTTCCTTTTTTTGGCAACTGCGTTCCCATTCCTAATGTGTTTTGTAACTCATGCATGCTGTCTGAGTAGGTTCGAATGAAACCATATTTATTCTGTCCTCGGTTCTTTCAAATAGCAAAACAGATTACTGTGTTGTTATACAGATGTGCTCTGGGTGGCAGGCCAACTCGGAGGAGCCCAGGAAGCCCCACCTCCTTTCAGAGTGTGTGAGAAGCGTGAATGACATGCAAAGGGAGTTTCTTGGCTCTTTTGGGCTGCGTCTCACATGTGTCGCGCCTGCCTGCTTTATGTATGTAAGATACCGTGGGGCTGTTCCGTATAAACGTTTCATGTCCCGTTGTTTCATTTCACAGGGAGACGAACCTCAAAGTCCGCCATGCGTTATCAGTTACTTCAGAACTAGGAGCAGATATGAGCCGGCTTGCAGAGTTTGATGGTAAGTGGTTCGAACAGACAAACAAACAAAAATCTCTAAACCCAAAAGCAAAAGCCACAGACTGATGATCTGAGATCCAGTTTATGTTTCTTTTACTTTGGTGGGAGGACCTGGAATGCTCCAGCCATGACAGCCTCTGAGCTCTTCTCACGGTCAAGTTTAGCAATGTTTAGAGTTCATCATTCATTTCCCCCATGTCTTCTCTTCTCTACGTCTTTTCTCCTCCAGTGCCACCACGCCCTTTGCTCGCCTGACGTTGGCCTCTCTGGCCTTGGCAGATTTGCAGAGGTTGAGTATAGACATGGTTTTGTCACGAGCACTGTGTCCAGCCCATTCTGGCTCCATAGCAAGAGCCAAACACTGGATTGTAAATGTCACGAAGACAGTAATTTTTCCCCACATATGGTTTGCATCGTGCACAGTGTCTAGCATAACATCTGGAAGAAAGTAGGTGTTCAGGAAAAACCTTTGGATTTATTAATTATCTGTTAGTTGTTTCCCATTGTTTTACATCCTGGTCTTGTTCACCCCACTTTCATATTGTCCACACTAGTCCTCGCCTGCTCAGCATGGTCTCCCTTGCTTCGTAAAGCCGTTCTTCTTAAGCATTCCTGGAATAGCTTCGAGAGATTGCCATTGCAGGGATTTATGCGTGTTAGGGTTGAGAGACTACAGAGAAGCAACATCGTTTGTTCAAGAGTCAAAAGAAAGACCACCCATGATAGGATTTTAGGCACCAGGTTAGACTCTGGGGATAGATTTGGGAGCCACCCTACCAATTCTTAATGGGCTCTTGCTTTGTTGCTGGGCGCTGTGGTATCAGATCCGACTCACAGTGGCCCTATGAACAAGAAGTTTGGCTCTGAGTATCAAGCTTTTCATATCGAGGGTTTCTTTCTGATGAAGGAATCTTTCTGCATTTGAGACCCCCTTCAATAATGGTTTCTTTGAGGTCCACTCAAGGAAAAGGTGGACAGAAATTAGAGGATAATCTCAAGAGTTAAAGTAAGGCGAATCTCCAGTTTAAAGTTTCTGAGGTACTTACCTTTGAATTAAATTGCTTGCACTTGGTATTTGTTGTAAACTCTTTCTGGATTCTGTGACTATTTTAATTTCTTAAGTGAGTGCTGTTATAACAAATGTTAATGGAAAAATGTTTTTGTAGATTGAGATTTAAGTTAGGGGAATAGCCAGGAAGCGTTGAATGGTGTAAGAAATATTTTGATTAGATTAAAACTAATTATATATTTTCTACCAAGTCTTTTTTTCAATGACATTTTAGTGTTACCTAAGTCCCAGGAAAGTCAATCGTGCTTCTGAATCAAAATACTTGCTTAAAACACGTCATGAATATTTACGGTGTCCTCAGAGAGTCACCCAAACATCATTGAGCATGATTCATTTATTTCCTGGAAGAATTATATCTTTCTACCTCTATCAATTCATGAGGAGGTAGAGATGAATGGCTTTTAGTAGTCTTTAACAGCCACAAGCAGAAAAAAATTGTTATGATGGTTCCGTTCCTTCCACTGATGTTGTCGCAGATAGCCTAGCCTACCAGCGAGGCACAAATAATCCCACAGTCTTAGGAGTCTAGACACTGTCAGGGTTTGTTTCTTTCTCATGTGACCTTCTCATGCGGCCTTCTCGACCTTGTAGCTATGGACTATGCACTAGTGACCTTGAAGGTCACCATAGCAAGAGAAGGGTAAGATACAGGCATGGCACTCTTAACTATATGACTTTCACAAACATTTTATTACCTCGTACTAGTGGTCTAGCTTCTACCTCACAGGAAGGGAGACTGGGAAATAACATAAGTACTCTGTAATCGATTTGTTTCCTGAAGGTTTATTGTCCATCTGCTGCCATGCGTAGTCTACATGGCAGCAGATGGACAATAGACAATTAGGAAACAAATCAATTATAGCGTATGCACACTGGCATGTACCAACTTCCTTAAGACAATCCCAGCACATAGTAGGTGCTCAAGAAATCTTCATGGAATGAATGGCCACGGTGCCAGGGAATGGGGCGGGATTCGCACCGGGTTTCGGAAAGCACAGAGGACAGAGAAAGGTTGGGGAGTGGAACTTGGAACAATGAAGGGAGAAGTCAGTTCTTGAGGGAGTCTTGTTGGACAAGCACGAGCGCTGATTCCCTCTGAGAAAGCAAGTCTCTGGGAGACAGATCATGTGATGGTTCCCTTCTCCAAGTGAAATTTAACATGGAAATAGCAAATCAAGGCAGTATAGGAAGTGCTGTTCAAGGCTGAAGCAAGGGCACTTTTCTTAAAAACGCTGCCATTCACCAAGAGCAAGCTATTCCTTTAAAAAGGAAGGATGACTGAACTTTGGAGAGGCTGAGGGACTTGCTTAGAGAGAACAATAATCTTTCTTTTGTACTTCATAGAATTTAACTTTTAAGTCAATTAATACCATTTGCTAACAAACAAACAAACAAACAAATAAAAAACCAATCCAAACCCACTGCCAAAGAGTTGATTTGGACTCATAGTTACCCTAAGGATCTCTTCCGAGACTCTAAGGGGGCACTCTGTCTCCTTTCAATCTTGCCGATCAACCAGTGGGTTGGGACTGCTGACGTTGCAATCAGCAGCCCAAGGTCAGATATGATCTCAGTTTACTTCACACGGTATGGATAATCCACCAAATGCCCAACATATAATCATTTTTCCAAATAAGGCAGCACAGACCTCTCTCATATATATACACACACACACTTAAGCTGTGGTTACTTTTCAGAAAATATATCATACCAACTTCCTGAGACTGGTACAGTTCTGGGCAAGGTTTCCGTTTTTATTCTTAAATTAAAAGTTTGATTTCAACCTGTCTACAAGTTCAGGTAGCATTGTGTTCTGGGGGTTTGTTGTGCTGGGGGGCTCTTCAGTAGGTTCCGACTTGTATCGATTCTGTACAACAGAACAAAATGCTTCCTGTTCCGGCCCCTCCTCCAAACTGTTATGTTTTAGGGCCCATTGTTGGAGCTACTGTATCCATCTCCCTGTGGTAGTAGAGGGGGCTGCTTCTTTTTTTCTGCCCTGGATTTTCCCAAGCATAATGTCCCTTTCCAGGGATTATTCTCTCCTGATAAGATGACTAAAGGAAATGAGGCTCAGTCTCACCATCCTCGCTACTAAGGAGCATTCCGGCTGGACTTCTTCCAAGAAAGATTTGCTCGTTCTTTTTTATAAAAATTATTTTATTAGGGACTGGTACAACTCTTATCACAATCCATGATTTGCTCGTTCTTTTGGCAGTCCATGGTATTTTCCACATTCTTCTCCAGCACCAGGATTCAAATGCATCAGTTCTTCTTCAATCTTTGTATGCTTTGTCCAACTTTCACATGCAGATGAGGTGATTAAAAAGACCTCAACTTGGGTCAAGGACACCTTAGTCCTCAAAGTGACAGCCTTTCATGCGTTTGGCTTGTTATAAGATGATTTCTTGCTTTTAAAAAAAAATCTGTAGATTTTCTGTTAAAGCAGCCAATATTAAGAGCCAAGAGTTGGACAGCTAAGAAATTCTAACTCCTTCCCATATGGCTTTTACTATTAGGCAGTGCTTGGTTTTCCTCTGTCAGTCTCTTTCTTAGCCATCGTTCTTGCCCTCTTTCCATGGTACACTCCCTCACCCAGACGCACTCATACACCCGTACGTACACACATTGCTCTCCGTGCTCCTCCCCCACCCTCGCTCCTCTTTCCTTCCCTCCCTCTTGCGTTCTTTCTCTTCTCTGCATTCCCTGTTTTTCTACCACTCTTTGTACTAGTTTGCTGATTTTCTTCACCTGTGCCTTTTGTCTTTTTCATTCTTGTCATCCTTTGTCACTTCTGTCTTCTTCACTCTCTCCATACTCATTCCTTTACGCAGCATCTTTAACTAGAGTGGAGCTGCAACACAAAGCAGGATTATATAATATCCCCACGCTTTACTTTCAACAGCCTTTGGCTTAGTGTTATTCCTTCATTTCTTTCTCCACTCCTTCTTCCTTGTCTTCTTTCTTCATCTTTGTCACCATTAGGTATCAATAGATTTGAGTTTCTTCTCGGCTGAGTAGAGAAACATGGCCCTGAGGCACGGTCATTAAAAGATACTGCGGCTTTTGTACTCTTTAATTCAAAGTCTGATAGCGTCATGGTGCACATTTGGAATTGCTTTGCCGCACTGTGGCAAGTGTAGCACACTAGCTGAAGTGCTCTGTCTGTGCTAAGTATATCTTTAGCTTGTGACTTCTGGGCAAGCCTGGGTTTGGCACTGTTTGTGCTTCGAGTCACCCTGTGGTTTTACTTCTGAGACTTGCCAAAATACTTTCTCTAGCCCTAAGAAAAATCCCCATTGGAGACTTCAAAGCTGGTGCACCGAAGGCTAAAACTGAGATGGGTTGTGCCTTGTGCCTGTCACAAGTCTCCTAGGTGCCTCACTTTTACATTTATTCTCAGAAGTAGTGCCTTGCTGGAGACTTCCTGAGGAATGGCATGAACTCGACTCATTCATTCACTCAGTCACTCATTCATCCATTTATTTAGCCAATGTATAATGAAGACAATGCCAAGGATTGCATCTGGGGACAAAATGGTCAATAAGTCAAACCCAGTCTTGCCCTCACAGAACTTATAGCCCAGAAGAAAAGACAGATTTGAATAGTATGTGTCCACAAGAAGTCTTGAGTAAAGCATAGGTCCTCAAGTCCTGAAGCCCTGAACGTGATGTTGACCCACGAACAAGTGTTCACTTTGTTCCTGGAACCGTGCTAAGTGAGTGCATCTACTAGTGTTTGAATCTTTGTAGCCCTGGGAGAGAGATTATGATTGGTTCCAACTTATGGACAAGGAATCTATGACACAAGCATTCAATATCGTGCTCAATATCATATACTACAAAGTGGATGTTGTTGGTCTTACAAAATACTACCCTGTGATCTCTAGTGTAGTTTCGGTCACCAGTGCCATATTTTCTAATTACAGGTCCTTC